TCTCTCTCTGTCAAATAAATAAATAAAATATTTAAAAATATATATATAAGTGGACCCATGCAGTTCAAACCAGTGTTCAAGGGTTGACTGTAATTAGTTACAATGGATATTATACTATTTAAAGTAGTAGTTGAAGTAAATTTATTTCTCCAAAATAAGTATTTGCTTAAACAATTAGTACATTTTTAATTAAGGTTTCTCATGATGAGAAATTTCAAGATCTACTCTCCTAGCTACTTCCAAATATACAATACAATATTATTAACTATAGTCACCACACAGTACATTATATTCCCATGACTTATAACTGGAAATTTGTGCCCTTCGACCACCTTCAATTTGCCCACCGTGCCACCCTCCTCAGACTCAGACAACCACCAGTCTCTTCTCTATAACTGTGAACTTTGTTTTGGTTTTTTGTGCAACAGTTTTTAGTACATTGCGCTAACAAGTAGTACAATGTCCCATGTTTAGCAGTTGTTTAATGTTCTCTCTGATATAAAAATCAACTTCCTGAGACAGTTTTGGTATATATGCCTTTAAAATTCTGCCTAAATTTTAATAGTTTGTGTGACGTGTACCTACATCTAAGTGCAAAAATAATTCCTGTCGTGTAATTTAAATGTATAGTTATCCAATACAGTTTTAAATGGCATTGATTTTGAAGGAGTCACGTTAATATGGAAGTGCTTCAAATCTTCTCCTCAGACTTCTTGCGTTTGTTTCACACTACTCTCGTTCTATTTCTGGGTGCTGCTTGATTAAAGTGTTTTATGTAACAATATACCCACCAGGATTACTGCCTTAGTTCCTACTTCGGTCTAGTGCTTTTGGAAAAAGAAAATTACATAACAAGAAGCTTGGCTCCCCTGCAAAATTATGTCCCTGACTTTCAAGCCTCCTTGGCAATCCTTTGTCCAGACCCAGTTTATTCTCTAGTACATTCTCCTCCAGTTCTGTTCCAGAACGTCTCCTCATCCCCCTGCCCTGCGCTCTGCCCTGCCACAGCCTCTCTACAGCTGCCTTCATTCTGCGCTGACATTTGGGTAGAAATCCCACAACTTTTACACCTTCCACGTCAAAATGGCTCTCAGACGTCACCCTCTCTGTTCTCAGAGGAAGGAATGTTCCAACTCCTTCCCGGATTTGCAAGCCCAACTTGCATCACAAATGCACATCCTCAGCTCCACTTGCCCAGTCGGTGTTCCTGAAACACGCCCTCATCCCCTCACCTACAAGTATAAAGCTTCCTTCACCTTGCTCTGCCCTCCGAGGACGGCGAGATGCTCCCACCCGCCTCTCTGGGCCACAGTCACCAAGTTGCAGTGTTCCCCCAAGCCCTGGCCCGCCTCTCCTGCTGAGCCCCGGATGCAAACCCCACTCCCCCGCACCGCCCCACCTCCCACCCACCGCGGGCTCCTTCTTTGCTGGGACTTCAGCCAGAAGCTACAGAGGCACCCTCCGCCCAAGGCTGCGTTGAGCCTCCATGCGCCATCTCTTTTTTCCCCAAACCTCGATCCCCTGTCCAGTTGCCTGTGAGATGTGCCCCGTGGGTGCTTCGCAGGCAGTCGCAACAACGGGCATCCCACCAGCCCTGCCCTGCTCCCAGTTGCTGTCCTTTCTCACCTGGGCGACCACAGCGGCTTCCCCGCTCTTCTCCCTGCTCCCTTCTGCCCCATCCAGTTCACTCTCGAGGCCGACGTCCACCTAATCTTGGTTTCCAGGGAAATTCCATGTACCATAAAATTAGCCATTTTGAAGTATACAATTCAGTGGCATTTGGCGCACTCAAAATGTTATGCAACCATCACTTCCATCTAGTTCCGACGTATTTTTGCCACCGCAGAGGGAAACCTTTTACCCATGAAGCAGTCACTCCCCATTCCCCCTTTTCCTTTGCCCTTAGAACCACCGATCGACTTTCTGTAGATTTCTGTGGATTTACCTAATCTGGACATTTCTTTTTTTTTTTTTAAAGATTTTATTTATTTGAGAGAGAGAATGCACACAGAGGGAAAGGCAGAGGGAGAAGCCCAGACTCCCCACTAAGCAGAGAGCGCGACATGGGGCTTGATTCCAGGACCCTGAGATCAGGCTCCAAGCTGAAGGCAGAGGCATAATGGACTGAGCCACCCAGGTGCCCCTAAGCTGGACATTCCATATAAATAAATAGGTGACCTTGTGTGCCTGGCTTCTTAGCATAATGCTTTCGAGGTTCTTCCATAATGTAGCATGTATCCGTATGTGATCCCTTGTGGCTGAGTACTATTCCATTATAGCGATATACCACCTTTTGTTTATCCATTCATCATTTGTTGGAGGTTTGGGGTTTTTCCACCTTTTGACAATTGCATATAGCACTGCTTTGAGTGTTTGTATATGAGTGCTTGTTTGAATACTAATTTTTAAAACTTTGGGATAAATCCCTAGGAGTTGGATTGCATGGTCACGTGGTGATTCTATGTTAAACATTCTGAAGAACTGCCAGACTGTTTTCTAGAGTGGCTGTGCCGTTTTACATTCCCACCAGCAATGTACAAGAGTTCCAATTTCTCTGCTTCCTTGCCAACACTTATTTTCCTTTTTCAAAAAAAAAAAAATTATAGTCATCCCAGTGGGTCTGAAGTATTATCTCATTGTAGCAGAGCAATCTTATTTTTAATGTAAAATTAAAACCTGCTACTTGCTTAACCCAATTTCACCTTCTCCCATTGCCCCACTCTCCTTCTGCCCTTAGGTATTATGCCTACCCCCAGTCTCTTCATTCCCGCTGTCTTCTCTTCAGTTCTCCAATACGCCTTGCCTTGCCGGAGTCCACCTCAGGGACCGTCCCTGCTCTGCTCACTCTGCCCGGAACCCTTCCTCTCGCAGCCCACCCCTCCCAGCCCCACCGCTGCCCTGGGTGACTCCTCTTTCTCCTCCAGATCTCAGCCTCAAGGCCACGTCCTCCGAGACTACCCACCGGCATTTAGCTTCCACGGTTGCGGGGAAAATGTGATTCAAGCCCAAAACTGGCTCGGGCTGCTTCTGCCTGCTAACAGAGAGGGTGGCGTGATCCTTCCTGGGAAAACCCATCTTTATACAGGTCCTACACTGACAGATGAACAACTCTGAGTCCCCTGCCAGGTTTGCTGCGCCGCGAAAGGATGAGACTCTTCATCCTGTGAAATCGATCTGCGTCAGAAGCTGGGGTAGAGGGTGCTTCTGAAGGGGCTTGGAAAGCAAGAAGCCGGGGACACGTGGGGAGTCTTGAGGCCAGAGGAAGACACCAGACATTAAAGGACCGGCACCCACAGGGAAACGTGACCAGGGAGAGCAGCGCGGGGCGCCAGGTGGCAAGGAGGCTAAGGGAGCGGCGGATGTGGGTTTGTCTGGCTGTTCCGCGTGCACCTGCACTTCCCCTGGCCTTCACTGAAGACGCATGGACATGAGCCCTGAGTGAGTGACTTCAGAGGAAATCAAGGGGAATGAACCAAGGGCGATGGGCCAGGAATGGAAGACTGCAGTGCTGCAGAGTAAGAGGCCAGTGACGCAGCTCAGCGAACGAAAGAAACCCCAGGGCTGGAGGCCGCAGAAGCTCTGGAATCCACCAGCGTCTTGGGAAGGCACTGCATTAACTACAGGGCGCGGGATAAAAGCTCCAAGCCACTTTTATTTCAATCCCCAGAACAGTTGGGGCTCAGCCACATGTGGGTATTTCACAGCAGCTCGTGTGACACGTCTCCTCCTTTACTGTCATCACACAGAGTTATTTGTTTTATGTCTGCCTTCCCACCAGGCTAAGCGTGGAGCAGTCGGGGGTGTCTGTCTGTCTGCCTGCTGCATCCCGGTGCCCCTCTCGAGCAGACACATAAAGATATTTGCTGAGTGAATAAACTTATTTCTAACCAGAATTTGAGGTGGGTTAGGAAAGGAATAAAAGATACTAAAATGGGGTAATTTCATGTTTTTTATTTCTCGCCCCTTCCCTGGAAATAGAGCGAAAAAGATAATTGGAAAATCCAGATGTCTAAAATTATAGGAATACGTTTCTTTGCTAAAAGATTGGAAGAGGTTGGAATTGCCTTATCAGAATGTCCCAGGGGCGCCTGGGTGGCTCAGATGGTTAAGCGTCTGCTTTTGGCTCAGGTCATGATCCCAGGGTCCTGGGATTGAGTCCC